GGGGCGCGCGGCCAGGGGGTGGCCCCGAGCGGTGCAGGCCCCGCCCGGGCCAACCGCCTCCCTGGTCCGCCCTGGTCCGCCCTCTGGCCGCCGCCTGCCCCAAGGCCCTCCTCCCCCTCTTTCCCGTAGGTTTCCCCTCCCCCCCTCCGTCCCGCCCTTTCCACGCCCCTCACCCCGAAACCGCCCTTTTCCTCCAGGGCCCGCCTCTCTCCGACCTGAAACCTGATTTCTAACCCCTAGACCCCTCTAGGCCTTTGCCAGTACTTGCAGATGTTTCCCCACACACATTTTTTACCTGTCCTTCCTCCTTCCTGTCTTCTTGTTGCTCTTTTTTAACTCTTGTATTTTTCTTTCTCCATCTCTCTAACTCTAATTTTAGTAAGCTTTCTCTCCACCCACATGTTGGTTTTAGCCTTACCTAGCCTTTTCTCTTTCTCCCAGGATGCTTTTTCTTACTGTGAAACTCTTCCAGCAAGACCACTGCTCCTCACATTTCCTATGCCCACAGCACTTTTTGAATCCTTTCTGAGTTTAATTTTGTGCAAAGGAAAATTGAGGCCCAGTTGTGGCATCACTGAGTCTAGTTTATGTCCTGCAGGCCTTACTCCTCCACCTCCATTCCACTGTCTTTATACTGGCACCTTTCACCTTCTTCTTAGTCATTGCTGTTTCATCATAGTCTCTTTTTTTCTTTCCTTACTTTACCCTTTTTCTTCCCCTAACTTTAAGTTGTTTATCTTTTAATTCTTTTCAGACCAAGATCACTCCATGGATGAAATGACAGCAGTGGTGAAGATTGAAAAAGGAGTTGGTGGCAATAATGGTGGTAATGGTAATGGAGGTGGCACCTTTTCCCAAGCTCGAAGCAGCAGCACAGGCAGTAGCAGCAGCAGTGGAGGAGGAGGGCAGGTAAGTGGTGATCAGAGACAGAATGGGGAAGGTTGAGAGGATGTAGATACTCTTAGGTAATTGCCTTACTCTTCACAGAAAACTTTCTAGGAAGGGACTAAACCATCTTGTAGGTGGGGGTGCAAGCACAGAGGAATAGTGACTTAGAGATAGATCCCCCAGATGGGAGTTTCAGCAATACAGATAGGTCACCTTTTTGTTTCTCTTTGTTTGGACTGTATTGCTGTTTATTTGTTGTATACTGCCCCCTAGGTTGGCAGCTAGGTGTCACTAACTCCTTTCCTCTCCCTTATTTTCTGGCCAGGAATCCCAACCATCCCCTTTGGCTCTGCTGGCAGCAACTTGCAGCAGAATTGAGTCACCCAATGAGAACAGCAACAACTCCCAGGGCCCAGGCCAGTCAGGGGGCACAAGTGAGCTTGACCTCACAGCCACACAACTTTCACAGGGTGCCAACGGCTGGCAGATCGTCTCTTCCTCCTCTGGGGCTACTCCTACCTCAAAGGAACAGAGTGGCAGCAGTACCAATGGCAGCAATGGCAGTGAGTCTTCCAAGAATCGCACAGTCTCTGGTGGGCAGTATGTTGTGGCTGCCACCCCCAACTTGCAGAACCAGCAAGTTCTGACAGGATTACCTGGAGTGATGCCTAACATTCAGTATCAAGTAATCCCACAGTTCCAGACCGTTGATGGGCAACAGCTGCAATTCGCTGCCACTGGGGCCCAAGTGCAGCAGGATGGTTCTGGGCAAATACAGATAATACCAGGTGCGAACCAACAGATCATCACAAATCGAGGAAGTGGAGGCAACATCATTGCTGCTATGCCAAACCTACTCCAGCAGGCTGTCCCCCTCCAGGGCCTGGCTAATAATGTGCTCTCAGGACAGACTCAGTATGTGACCAATGTACCAGTGGCCCTGAATGGGAACATCACCTTGCTACCTGTCAACAGCGTTTCTGCAGCTACCTTGACTCCCAGTTCTCAGGCAGTCACGATCAGCAGCTCTGGGTCCCAGGAGAGTGGCTCTCAGCCCGTCACCTCAGGGACTACCATTAGTTCTGCCAGCCTGGTGTCATCGCAAGCCAATTCCAGCTCCTTTTTCACTAACGCCAATAGCTACTCAACAACTACTACCACCAGCAACATGGGAATTATGAATTTTACCAGCAGCGGATCATCAGGGACCAACTCTCAAGGCCAGACACCTCAGAGGGTCAGTGGGCTACAGGGGTCTGATACTTTGAACATCCAACAGAATCAGACATCTGGAGGCTCACTCCAAGCAGGTCAGCAGAAAGAGGGAGAGCAAAACCAGCAAACACAGCAACAAATTCTTATCCAGCCTCAGCTAGTTCAAGGGGGACAGGCCCTTCAGGCTCTCCAAGCCGCACCATTGTCAGGGCAGACCTTTACAACTCAAGCTATCTCCCAGGAAACCCTCCAGAACCTCCAGCTTCAGGCTGTTCCAAACTCTGGCCCCATCATCATCCGGACACCAACAGTGGGGCCCAATGGACAGGTCAGTTGGCAGACTCTTCAGCTGCAGAACCTCCAAGTTCAGAATCCACAGGCCCAGACAATCACTTTGGCACCAATGCAGGGTGTTTCCTTAGGGCAGACCAGCAGCAGCAGCACCACCCTCACACCTATTGCCTCAGCTGCCTCCATCTCTGCCGGCACAGTCACTGTAAATGCTGCTCAGCTCTCCTCCATGCCAGGCCTCCAGACCATTAACCTCAGTGCATTGGGTACTTCAGGAATCCAGGTGCACCAGCTTCCAGGCCTGCCGTTGGCCATAGCAAACGCTCCAGGTAAGGCTTTCAGTCTTTGCATATATTACAGGCTAATTCTATAAACTATTGTGTCTAAGAAAGGAATAGACCCATTTGGAGTAACTCTTTCTTTTTTTTTTTTTTAAGAATTGTTTTATTTAACTTTATTTATTTATTTTAAAATTTGATCAGAGGGGGACAGAGTGAGAGAAAAGGTGAGGAAGCAAGCTACCAGGTCTGGGACTTGAGACAGGTCAGCTATGGGGAGTCCAGCATCCTTAACTACCACGCCATCTGCTGGCCCCTGCAATCTCTTGAGGACTAGTTATTTAGGCAAGTTTATTAAGGAAATACAAATGATTCTGTTTGAGTCACTTGGAACCCAATTAATGGAAACATTTTTCACTTAACGTGAGAAAGGCATACTTCTTTTATTTTGGGACATTGTCCCCTGAAAGGCGTACTTCTGAAATATGCTTGGGGGGTCTCTGTTACTTCCTAATGTCTTCGGAATGGTAAATAAGAGTTGGCAAACTTTTTCTGTATCCAGACAGCAAATATTTTAGGACTTGTGAGCCATATACAGTCTCCATTACATTTTTTTTTTTTTTTTTAATTCCTGTAAAAATGTAAAACTGCTATTAGCTTCATGGCCTACTTTGGTCTGCAGGCCAGTTTCTGTATAGGATAAAATTGATTATAAACTTAACCTATTTGTAGGACAGACTACTAAATCACCAGATATTTCTGGTGAACCGTAATTCTCATTTAGGGGAACATGTTCTAATGTATTCAAGAAAATTTTTTCAGTTTTAGTCAACCAGAATGTCTCCTACAGCTCTGTGCAAACTGGCTAATCAAAGTTTAATTTTTAAACTACTAGTTACCTTAAAAAACAAAATCCTGGGGCTAGAAGGTGACAGTTTTTAAGATGTTGCACTCCCATGTGGCCAACCCCGGTTTGAGTGCTGGACCCAGCTGTTTGAAACTCAAGTCAGGCGTGTGTGTGCACGCACCCAAAATCCTAAGAGAAGAATGGAAGAGAAGGGATTGCAACCTGGCCATCCCTCTTGTGGGGTGATTTCTCACTTTTCCTCTCGTTGTCTCTCTCTGTCTCTCTCTAGAGATAGTGTGTGCTCGGGGGTGGGGGGGGGGATCTCTCTACTTCCCCTCACATTAATGTATGTGTGATTTGTTATTTTTTATTGTACATCTTCATAGCATGCAAAATGTCAAAATGTCTTTTCACTACTTATATTTTTAAAGAATTATTTAATTTTATTCATTCATTTATTTATTTTAATTTGACCAGAGAGAGACACAGAGAGAATAAGAGAGAAAGAGGAACACTGAGAAAACAAGCCACCAGGTCTGGGACTCAAACAATGGTTGGTCATGTGGGAGTGTACAATGCCTTTAACCTCCATGCCACCTGCTGGTCCCTCACTAGTTATTTTTTTTAAATAGGGTATGTGCACTCACCAGAGAGAGACGAAAGTAAGAAACCATCCTTTAGGAGGGATGGCCACATTGCAATTCCTTCTCCACTGTCCTCTCAGGATTATGGGCATGCACACACAGTTGCCCAGCATGACTTTCAAGCTGCCTGGTCTGGGACTCCAACTGCAGAGCTGACCATGTGGGATCAAGTGCCTTAACCTCCATGCCATCTGCTGGCCCATTCTAACGTATATTTTTAATAAGCTTCCTAGATGATTCTGTTACTTCCTAGATAAAGAACAACTTCCTAGACTGCCTTGTAAGTATGTATGTTTGAGAGGAGAAAGGCAGGAGAAAGAAGGGATGGGGGAAAGATGAGGTCTGGAATTAAATAGCTAGGAGTTGAGAGTTAGGAAGAAGAGGAGCATAAAAGGGAAAAAGTCAGGAAAGAGATAAATACTGGAATGAATGTTGAATGAGTTGACCATAATATGCAGTATTTTACTTTGAGTTATGTTTCAGTTGGTTAATTTGAAATTTAGAAAATCCATAAAATGCGAAATTTAGTATGTATACAATGTATACTTTTTTTCCTTTTCCTTTTATCTACATTTATTTTATGCTGACTTTATTCCCATGCAGTAAGTTTTTGTTTCTTCAGTTTCTTCTGGGATATCTTTTTCTTCTGTGCAACTTCCTCTTCCGGTTTAGGAACAATTTGCTCCTTTTCAGTGAGGATCATCTCAATGTGGCAGGGGGAGCTCATGTATGGGTTAACCCGCCCATGAGCTCTGTACATGCAACGGCGTATCTTGGGTGCCTTGTTCACCTGAATGTGCTTAGTGACCAGAGAATCTACATCTAACCCCTTAAGTTCAGCATTACTCTCTGCATTTTCAAGCATGTGCAGCAAAAATTCAGCACTCTTTTTGGGTCACCAACCTTGTGTCCAGCCCCACTGTTTAGCCTGGGCCCATCTACCAACTCCACCATTGTAATGACAGAATGGCACACACTGCTTCGATAAAGTGACAGCCTTCAGATACCTGGTGGCTTTTCGGATATGCACACCCTTGATGGCCTGGGCAGTTTCACGAGTGTCCTTAAAGTGAACAGGAAGATTTGAACCTCTTGATTTGTATGACTTTGTGAGGTTCTCTTGGTCAAGTGAATAGCTAAGAACCATTTTCAAAGATCACCTCAGTCAATTTAGGAGAAGAGCTACAATGTATAATTTAAAATCCCATCACATGGAGCTAATCTTTAATAAAACAATAAAAGGTTACATAAGTATTTTTATAATCTGGGATAATACATAAAATTATAATGGGAAAAAAATTTTTTTTTTTTTTTAAGTTTTTGTCATTAGAGTGTGTGTACTTGCCAGAGAGACAGAGAGAGGGAAAGTGAGAAATCACCCCTTGAGGGGATGGCCATGCCACAGTCTATTCTCCTCCATTCTCTCAGGATTTGGGGCACACGGACACACATGCCCAGAATGGGTTCAAGCCACTGGGTCTGGGACTGGGCGGTCTGTCATGTGGAAGTCCAGCGCCTTAACCACCACTCCACCAGCTGGCCCCAGAAAATAGCTTAATACCTCTGAACGCAGGGTCAGCAGGTCGTGTGATGGTTATGGCACTGGATCTCACAAACTATGTGGTTCAAGTGCAGACCTAGCGGCCTGTAAAACACACCGGGTGTTGTGCATGTGTGCCCAGAATCCTGAGAGGAGAGGGAAGGGATTGTAGTATGGCCATCTCCCTCTGGAAGATGATTTCTCACTTTTCCTCTTCTCTGTCTCTTTCCAGTAAATGCTGGTAAAAAAACAAAACAAAACAAAACAACAAAAACAACAACTTTCTTATTTTGCTGTAAAATATCAGCTTGATACTTACTGCCTTTTATTAGAATGCAGTCTAGGGGCCAGCAGGTGGTGTGGTGGTAAAGGTGCTAGAATCCCACATGTGGCTTTAGTCCTGGACCTGGCAGCCTGCTTTCGTACTTTCTCTCTCTCTGTCTCTATCTGGTCAAATTAGAAAATAATAATAAATAAAATTAAATAATTCTTTCAAAAAAACGCAGTTTAGTTACATTAGAAGTCACAAGATTGACCAGTTTTATTTTTTTTTAGATTTTTTGCTATAGGACGTGTGCGCTTGCTTGAGAGACAGAAAGTGAGAAATCACCCCCTCACAGGGGATGGCATGTTGTAATCCAGTCCCTTTTCCTTTCCCCTCTTGGGATTTTTGTCATGCACACACACCTGCCTGGTGTCAGTTTCAAACTCATAGTCCAGGACTTCAAATGTAGTTGGCCTAGTTTATTTATTTGTTTATTTCTTTTTGAAGAATTATTTAAATAACTGTTATAATTTGACCAGAGAAGGACAGAGAGAGAGACAGAGACAGAGAGAGAGAGAGAGTCCTGCCAGGTCTGGGACTCGAACCACAGTTGGCCATGTGGGAACCCAGTGCCTTTAACCGCCATGCCACTTGCTGGCCTCCGCCAAATTTTTTTTAATTTTAATTTTTTTAAATTAGGACTATATTTGGGACCAGCAGTTGGCGTAATGGCTATGTTGCTGGACTCCCATGTAGTTGACTGTGGTTTGGGTACCGGACCCAGTGACTTAAACTCACACCAGGCTCAAGTGCACATGTGCTTAAGATCCTGAGAGGAAAATAGAGGAGAAGGGATTGTGGTGTGGCCATCCCCCGAGAGGAGAAAGGCAGGAGAAAGAAGGGATGGGGGAAAGATGAGGTCTGGAATTAAATAGCTAGGAGTTGAGAGTTAGGAAGAAGAGGAGCATAAAAGGGAAAAAGTCAGGAAAGAGATAAATACTGGAATGAATGTTGAATGAGTTGACCATAATATGCAGTATTTTACTTTGAGTTATGTTTCAGTTGGTTAATTTGAAATTTAGAAAATCCATAAAATGCGAAATTTAGTATGTATACAATGTATACTTTTTTTCCTTTTCCTTTTATCTACATTTATTTTATGCTGACTTTATTCCCATGCAGTAAGTTTTTGTTTCTTCAGTTTCTTCTGGGATATCTTTTTCTTCTGTGCAACTTCCTCTTCCGGTTTAGGAACAATTTGCTCCTTTTCAGTGAGGATCATCTCAATGTGGCAGGGGGAGCTCATGTATGGGTTAACCCGCCCATGAGCTCTGTACATGCAACGGCGTATCTTGGGTGCCTTGTTCACCTGAATGTGCTTAGTGACCAGAGAATCTACATCTAACCCCTTAAGTTCAGCATTACTCTCTGCATTTTCAAGCATGTGCAGCAAAAATTCAGCACTCTTTTTGGGTCACCAACCTTGTGTCCAGCCCCACTGTTTAGCCTGGGCCCATCTACCAACTCCACCATTGTAATGACAGAATGGCACACACTGCTTCGATAAAGTGACAGCCTTCAGATACCTGGTGGCTTTTCGGATATGCACACCCTTGATGGCCTGGGCAGTTTCACGAGTGTCCTTAAAGTGAACAGGAAGATTTGAACCTCTTGATTTGTATGACTTTGTGAGGTTCTCTTGGTCAAGTGAATAGCTAAGAACCATTTTCAAAGATCACCTCAGTCAATTTAGGA